ACTATATAATTTATACAATATATATTATTTATAATTATACATAATATATAAATATAAATTGTATAGTTTATATATAATTCATATGTAATTTATATAAAAACTATGTAGTTTCTATATAGTTCAATAGTTCATATATAAACTATATAGTATTATAGTTTATACATTGTATATATAGCTTATACATAATATATATATATATATATATATATATATATATATATATATATTATAGTTGTTTTAATATTTTTTCTCAACTTTTGAAATGAATGCAATTTAGTCAATTTTACAGTATTTTTCATATTTGATCTCTTTGTGTTGTTTAATTTATTTAAATTTTTATTTGTAATTTTATATTTGTTTAATTTAGTCCTCCAAATTTTATTTGCATCTGAAATTGACCCATACTTATTACTTATTTCTATTTTTTAATTGGCCCATAACTTTTTAATGGGTATAATTTAGTACTTTTTTGTATTAATTTCAACCTCACAATTTAAAATTATTTCGATTTGATCCCTTTGTGTTGTGTAATTTATTTAAATTTTTATTTGTAATTTTATATTTGTTTAATTTAGTCCTCCAAATTTTATTTGCATCTGCAATTGACTCATACTTATTACTCATTTCTATTTTTTAATTGACCCATAACTTTTTAAATGGGGTATAATTTATTACTTTTTTGTATTAATTTCAACCTCACAATTTAAAATTATTTCGATTTGATCCCTTTGTGTTTTTTAATTTATTTAAAATTTTATTTTTAATTTCATATTTGTTCAATTTAGTCCTCCAAATTATATTTGCATATGAAATTGACCCATACTTATTACTTATTTATATTTTTTAATTGGCCCATAACTTTTTAAATGGGTATAATTTAGTACTTTTTTGTATTAGTTTCAACCTCACAATTTAAAATTATTTCAATTTGATCCCTCATCAATGTGTATTGTTTAATTTATTTAAATTTTGATTTGTAATTTCATATTTGTTCAATTTAATTCTTAAATTTTTTCATAAAATTAAACCATGATTATTTATATTCTTAGTAATTTACTCTAAATCATATACAATTACAAATTGTAATTCAACGTTCGCGAAAGATGAAAATAATTAATCCAAAAAAAAATTAACCTGATTTGAATTCAATCCTTATATGATAGAGATCCGACCTGAATTTTATCTGCCAATGATGTGACCCGATCTGAACGAGATCCACCTGAAGTCCATCCGAACCTGAATTAACCTACTTTTTAACTGCTCCAAACCTGAACTGTTTTGACCTGAACTAGCATCGATCCGAACTGAAAGTAACCCGACCTGAACTCGAACTGTACCTGGTGTCAAATCAACCTGAAAATGACCTGACCCGATTTGACCTGGACCCGACCTGATCCGAGTCAAAGCATCAAATTTACTTGACTTAACATGTATCCGATTTTACCCGACCTGACAGGATCCAACTGAAACCTGAACGATTATCCGATTTTACATTTCTATTTGATGGGGTTTGTTGATGGGTAACTTAGTGGTTCAAAACAAAATATCTGACCTTTACCTCGTGCCACCCCAAAACTCCAACTTTTTGTATTACTAAATAAAAGTAATTTTTTTCTGGATTTAAATTTATTGAATGTGAATTTTTAAAAATTATTGTATTATGAATTAATAAAGTAATTTCATTGATAAATAATATTTTTCTATCTATAAGTTATAGAGTTTGAATAGTTGTGTGTATATAATATATACATTATTAATCGATTAAGAGTTTTTTTAAATCAATACTATATTATAATCAATGAGGATGTAAAAGTTAACTAAATTCAGTACTCCCTTTTTTAAAAAAATGAATATGTAAATTTTCTTATTTTATTTTTTCCTACTGATATATTAAACTAAATTAAATAAATTTTTTAAAAATAACGGGTATAAAATTATTCTCTACCCCATCTATATACATATGCTCTACTTGTAATCACTTCATACAATTTAAAAGTTATATTATGAACGTTTGTATTTATTATTTTGTTGGTCATGTTCTTAATTTCAGATAATTTGAGTTTGTTTGGCAATTAATTCCCTTGGTGCCGACAGTAGTTATTCTTTTCCCGTCACTTTCCTCTCATGAACCGTAAAAGCAATAGGAAAAGTAAATAATGAAATGAAATAAAACTTGTAAAATATAGTTCTTACTCATCCATCACAAGTCAAATGATTAATCTCCAAGGAAAATTGTGACATATATGGGATATCTAACGAATAAAAAGAGCAGAATTAATCGGGAAAGATATGTAAGATCGGGTAATGATTGCTATTTGCTAGAAGTGAAGCAACATTTCATGGAGAAATATAAGAAAACAATAAAAACAGGCTTGTTTGGGTTTATTAATTGTACAAAATGAGAAGTTTTTTTTTTTGTATTATAAATAAAGATTTATTATTTATAATAAAAAGATAATAAAATAAATTAAATATATAACGATCGTTTAACTTATAGAATTAAAAAACTCTGCCTTGATTGAATCCATAAAATAGATTTGATGTGATTGCAGGAGAAACTTTCCCATCTTTTTCAAATGTTGCACTCTTACCTAACGTCGTGTGTGTTTTTTTAATTCCAAACATTCATCAGCTACGTACGTATAGTTGAAAACAACAGCTTTTTGTAACCATCAAGCAACACATATAAATGTATATATATGTTCAAGCTCGATTCAAACTATTACTTCTTTTATATGCATATATGTAATTTATATAATATAAAGTACTAAATATAAATATAAAATTATAATTATACTTATATAGTACTTATAAAACAGACCGAACAGAGATGGTAAATTGTAGACATGTTGAGGCACAAGTCTTGAAACAAATTGTCCGAGCCTTTTTGAAGGCTGTGATGTCACGTCAGATATTGAATCAAAGTTTACAATTTTGTCCTACTTCACTGTGGACATAAACACAAATAACCAATTATCCACCATCAAACAGGTTTTCCTTCTCAGGCATGTAACTTGAAATTAATACATATAAATACACTTTCTTTTACAATTGGCCCATCAAACACGGAAGATTTTGGATATTATTTTAGTGAATAATGTCAAGTCTTTATGATTTTCTGTTTTACTATGAAAATTTCACCCAACTCTTGTATTTAATTTATTACGAATTCAAATATTCTAATGGAAAATCCAAAGAAAATTTCAAAGGGCTGGTTTTAGTTTATTTTTCAAAATTAAGATTAAGGGATTGAGTTATTTCTCAATTATCGGCAGCGTAGATACGTAAATTAACATCTAGTGATTATAAAGTGGTTAATTAATGTAAGTCAGCAACACCAAAATAAAAATGATACTTTCTGCTTTGGGAATGAACCAAAGTAACAATTCTTCATAAAAAGAGCCAACGTGGTTTCAATTTCCTGTCAACTAATTAGATTCTTAATCACTTTAGGTCTCTCTGTTTGTTAGTAAACTATCAGAGAGTATTCATATTTTTATATCAATTATGAATTATCAGCTGCCCCAAATTATCATCCAAGTAGAGATTCCCAGGACCCAAGCATAATAATCACACTAACAATACTAATGTAGTTAGGTACTAAAACTTTTTATTATTAATAATAAGGCACGTATACCTTGTCGTTACTTATTATTAGTAATGTGATAATATTATCTAATTACATATTAGTATAATAATTTAAAATTTAGTCAATGGAATTAAGATTCAATTGATATTATTATTACAACGTATAAATGAATATGAATTTGAATGTGTTTAAATGTATAATATTTTTAAATTTATGAGTAAATTTTTTTAAAATTATTAAAAAAAATAAAGTTTCATGCAGTAGGTTTTTTTTATCATTATATACTTTAGTGGGATTAATGTAATATAATATAGAACTGTGAAATGGGACCTAATAGTAATAAGATAATAATATTATAAGAAAGCATTTATTAGTTAATAACAAAAAAGTGCCCATTTTTTTGGAACATTAGGTGTATCATTATTAAGCAACTGTAACTGTTTACCTTGTTGATATTAAACAAGATCGTAAATTACCCAAGTTTTGCTTATATATATTCCATCTCCTACAAGCATTATTTTACAGTTGCTGGGTATTCTTTTTCTTCAAGTTATTGTTCATACAATATCTATCAAATGTATTATTGGCCAAATTCAAAGGGTCGAGCTTTCTTTCTTTTGTTTTCTTAAAAGACAAGTTGAGTTTAGTGTGCTCCGTCTGGACCCACCTTTGGTTTGTATAGAAACATATATGATGCATTAAATCATGCATGTTTCTAATCCTAGACAAAGAGTTACCATTTAACCTCTCACTATTCTCATATTTAAATATATTAATTAATAAAATCAACAACAGATTGACTAGCAAAAGATTTGTAATAAATCTGTAATTGAAATATATTATTATAGATCTAATATTTATCCGGTCTAAATTAATTAATTTTTGTTAATACATTATAAATGATAATTAGATGCCGATTGTATATTTATAGATATTTATGATTTGAGATGAGTATTAAATGTTAACTTATAGTTTAATATCAACGTAGGTTTATCACTATTAATATCTAATGGACTATATATATACATATATTGATTAAAAAATTATAAAAAAAATATCTCAATATTAATTTCAATTAAAAAATTACATCAAATTTGAATTAAAAAGAAACATCAATCCAAGGTCGTTCCACGCCACATGACACAAGCTTTAAATGTTTGATAAAACACACCGTTTTAAATTTAATTAACTTCCCCCTTTCACTTCACTTTCTTTCTCTCTGTTACAATATTAAGACCTTGTAACTATAGTATAATAATCTTAAATATAATCGCACTTTAGATGTAAAACCTTAAATGTTTTCAGATTTGGACTGCTGGGTTGCATTACTACAAAAAAAAAGCAACAACAGTTCATCTATTTTTCTATTAAACCGCCTTCTTCCCTCGTCAACCCCATGACAAACACAAAAATGGAGCCTCAAAAACCATCAGAGCCTTCTCTCTCTGAAACTTCAACGATTATCTCAGCCTCAAATGGCTCACCATCCACCCTAGGAACCACAATGGATACTACCCACAAAGAAGAAAAGCAACCGCAAGACAAAGAAGAAGATGATCCCGTACTGGATCTGCGCTTCTCCAATCAAGAATCGAGCCAAGAACTGAATTTCATCGACTGTTTCAAGGTGGTGGACTCATCCTCTGATCATGATCAAGATCAAGGTAATGAAACTGGGCCTAAAGTATTTTCATGTAACTACTGCCAAAGAAAATTTTATAACGCACAGGCTCTGGGAGGCCACCAAAATGCACATAAACGAGAGAGAACACTGGCGAAACGAGGCCACCGGATTACTGTTGGTGGTGGTGTAGCGGCTTTAGGTTACCCTAATACACATCACGGGCGATATTATAGCATGGCGTCACTTCCTCTGTATAGCTCTAGTTTCTGTAAACCACTTGGAGTTCAAGAGCACTCCATGATCCACAAGCCATCTTTTGTTCCATGCCGTAATGGATGGTCTAGACGGCCCGTTGCTCGAACACGGCCAACCGAGCATCTTTCAATGGGGAGTTTGAATCTAGGGGGTAATGGCGCTGCTAGATTCGAAAGCGGTATGCGTACGTTTGGTCCAGCCATGGAAGGAACGGGAGGATTTTTGTGGGATACTGTTAAGCATTTCAATAGTAAAAATGATGAGTTGAAGCTTGACTTGTCTTTGAAGCTCTAAGCGACTAACTCTATAGTTTCATTCTTCCTTTGATTATTAGTTGGATATTTTGTAAATGCATTTTGGTTAAAGAAGAAAAGGGGGAAAAACTTTTCCAATTCTTCAACTTTAGGGCTTGGACTTTGTGAACTTTTCAATGTTGCTTGTTTCACCAATTCTTCAATTCCAATACATATGACTCTTAATTAGCAAGTAAACGTGTGTGTATATATATATTATCAATGTCTGTAACACTCATAGCTCATATATGTCTCGTAATACGAGTCACAAATATCAAACCAATTAGATAAATATTTACTATGCATAAAGATTTAAAATTTCGTTTCTTTTTAAAAATTTCACTATTTTAACTTTTAAGTTTTTATCTTATTCGTATAAAATCATAAAATAATATTCAATCACTGAAAAAAAAATCAAATTTTAGTTTATAAGTAGGCAATTTAGAGCTGATCATAACTATATATATATATCACTGCTTAAATACTGCTTAATTTTTAAAATATTTAAAATATAATATTTAGACTATTCATTCATAAATACGATTAATACTAAAAATTAGCCAAAATTAAACAAAATAATGCTAGTTACTAATACAAGCCCTTAAAAATAAATCTAACAAAGCAACCCTACAAATATAATGTACATGTCACTAATAAGTTAAAGTTAGGATGTATTACTGAAACTGTCGGTAGGTATGATTTCCATAAGATGCTGACAAACTCCTTACTTTACATCCTCTACTTTATTCAAACCTACGCATAAAATCGTCATACGCTAAGTAAAACTTAGTGAGGGAGAAATATAACTCAAGTGATATAAAACCATAAATTTCATAAAATATAATAAATAAACTGTAATTTAAATAAAAACATTAAACTTCAAACTCGACTAGTAAGTTAACATCGAGTATCATAAATAACTTTTTTTTTTCTTTTCATTCGAACATATTTCAAAACTTTCTTTTCAATTCAATGTTCATTCCTTTCATATTGTCATAACTTTCACATTTATTGCTATAGCCCAATATATATGTAAGAGAATATAAAGTAAGTGAGTTTAAGGTGCGCACTAGGCACAACACAGTGCTGAATCATAACTGAAACTGTGATATGATGCACTTCAGTGCAATCATAACCTGAGCACCAACAATGCTGAACATTGATACACGAATGTATCAAAGCTGAACTGATAACTGAAAAGTACTTACTAAATGACATGCCAAATGTACCTATGACTTTTAATGCAATATACAATGGCCTTATATGTATCATCATAGAATCATTTATTAATTTGCTTCTGGTAACTGTAAAACATCTGTTATCTTTAAATATTTGATAACTGTAATCGTCTGATATATGTAAATATCTGATAATTGTAATCATCTAATATATGTAAATATATGATAAATGAAAATCATATGATAACTGTAAACATTTAGAATTCATCATCATAAATATCATACTTGTGCAGTTCATACCCAAAATCATTCATAAAACTTGATGAAAAATATTATAGAAATATTACATACTGAAAATTTATAAATCATACTGGAAAATAAAATGAGGTTGACTTATCGCAATTCGACCTCGACTATAATAATCAAATAAATAAATTGCATTCACTTTAACACTTTATTATTATTTTAAATCAAAATATAAGCCTCACTAAGCTTTAGATTTAAATCATTTGCCTTCCGCTACTTTCAATACACAATTTATCAAATTTCCATATTATGGCATTTTGCACTACCTTCAAACAAATATTATTTTGTATTAATTTATATAATGAAAAATTATTATGTTTACACCAACAAAAACTAGACTTGAATACTAATATAACCATATAAGGCACTCCATCTAGTTCCACTTTTACAATTTATAGTGAATTTTCAAAGTTGATAGACAGAAGCTGTTTCGGGCAGAATCTGCTTCCCTGTTTTCTGACATATCATCGATTAAAAATTCATATCTTTTTGTATAGCCATCGAAATCAGTTTTCATTTGTTATAAACAAAACTAGACTGATATACAAATCCAATGATATAATATTCATTCTTCAATTTTTTTTATAATTTCTGGTGATTTTCTAAACTTTATGTTCAGAACATAATTTCTAGGCAGATTTCATCAACTTGCATCCTTAACTTATTCACTAAATCTATAAGCTTACCAATTGAACATATAGGCTTGAAGTGCACTTCTCATGCAACAGGAGTTACCTCTTAATGTAACTCCGACATTGGCTCATCGCAAGGTAATGTTTGTTTCGATAACATAAATACTAGTTAAATGCACTCACCTTTGCCTCATTATCAAACCTTCTCCACGATAGTCTTCTCAATCCCGCATCTATTTCTTCCCCTTTGAGTTACTTGGATCACTAGATTTATCATGGTCTGACGTCGTTATATAATAGCATAAAATATTCAAACTATATGTTAGTATTGAACTAACATAGTTTAAGCTTGAATTTTAATTCAATAGAAATAAAATCGATATTTAAATCGATATAAAACTAAATCATAGTTCAATCATAAATTAAAACTTCTCAAACATACTCTTTTAATTTCCATAAATATTTATTTTCATCATCATCCCTTCAACTTTTGTTAATTTACAAAATCAAGCCACAAATTATGAATTCTTTCTAGAAATCGCCTTAACTTTTTCATTAAATTCATAATAATCCTTCATCATTATGATCATTCCATATTAATTTTTTTTTTAAATTTCCAGCACCTTTTTAAAATAATCAAACCAACTCTTAAACATTCAAAAGCTTACAATTTCATCCTTAACTTTCTTAGACTTTTCAAATTCAACACTTTATTTTAATAAACTTGCAAATTGCTCCCAACTTGTAATCAAACTCCAAAAATCAGCATGATGTTAGGATCGATGAAGCTCAAAATGATCAACCAAATAATTTGCCAAGAGGGGGTGAATTGGATTTTTGAGTTTAGGGAGTAAGGAGTATAAAGATGAAACAATTTGCACAAGGATTTATAGTTGTTCGACTTCTCAACCAAGTCTACATCCACTACCTAAGCTCCTCACTTAGAATTTTCTAACAAATCCACTAATTTGTTCTTTCTTTTTCTAGGACAAAGAGAGAACCTTTACAACTCCCTAGCTTTTAAAAGGCTAAGCTAGAATCAATCCCCTTTATAAAAGGAATAAAAGATGTAAACAAGAAAACCTCTTAAAGGAAGGTGTTTATAAAAATTAAGCTCACTAAAACACTAATATTTACAAGAGAAAGGAAAATAAGAATGAAAAGTTATTCTCTTGTGTTTGATTGCTTGGATAGGTTTTGTAACCTTCTTCAAGTGTCTTCAACTTGTTTTTATATGTTGGAATGAGTTTGTGTGGTTGTTTCTAGCCGTTAGGGATGTTTTGGAGCTGTTTGGGGATTAATTTTTTGCAAAAAAGCTGCCCAAAATAGTGAGTATCGGTACTCTTTAATGAGTATCGATACTACATTTGTAATATTTAAATAAACTAGCCATTGAAGGCCATTGGGCTTGATCAGTATCGATACTATTCTTCATGGTATCGATACCACTGTGTAAAGAAGTATTGGTGCCCCTTGAGTATCGATATCTATTTTGCATTCTGGAATTTGAGCAATTTGGAAAACAACTGGTAGTATTGATATTACTTAGAGAGTATCAATACTTCTCTTACCTTTGGTATTGGTACCACATGAACATTATCGATACTGTTCATGTAGTATTGATATTGTAAGAACAGTATTAGTACTACATACTCAGAAAACTATTTTGTACTCAAATTCTAGTTTAATGGACTTTTAATTATTTTTGAAAACTTTGTACAAATTCAATCAAGTTCAAAAACAATTTTCCATAATTTTTTATATCAAAATATTATAAAACATGGTTCAACAATCTCCCCCTTTTTGATGTAACAAAACATTTGAAAAATTGTTTTGGCAAAACTCTCCCTTAATAAAATATTTTAGGAAAAAGAGCAATATTTGGAAAATATTAAAGCTCCCCCTTTTTCATTCTTGAAATTGAATTTTTCAAACTCATATTTCTCCTCCTTTTTGTTATATAAAAAATAATTCAAGTTTAAGGTTCAAAACAACAATGGAGAGTAAATAAGAATTTTAACATTAAAATCATTTGAAAAATCAAAAGATCCCCCTCACTAAAAGCATTCCAAAAAAATAGTTTAAAAGCTTGACACTAAAAGACATTGAATCTCAACAAAGATGAACAAACATGTTAGTAGCACATGAAATTCAATATATCCAAGTCTAATATACTTTATGCAATACTAATTGGTATATTTAAGTGCATGTGCATAAAGCTATCCAAAATTTTATGCATTTGAAAAATTTGATATCAATTTGTTAGGATTTGTGAAGCTCAAATTACAAACCGAAAATAATTTGCCAAGAGGGGGAAATTGGCTTTTTGAGAATTTTAGGGACTAAGGAGAACTAAAGGGGTAGAAAATTGTTGCACAAGGATTTATAGTAGTTCAACTCCCTCAATGAAGTTTACATCTACTACCTAAGCTCCTCACTTAGGATTTTCCAACAAATCCACTAATTTTTTCTTTCTGTTTCAAGGACAAAGAGATAACCTTTACAAACTCCCTAGCTTTTCAAAGGCTTAGCTAGAACCAAAACCCCTTTTTAAAGGATAAAAGAAGTAAACAATAAAACCTCTACAAGGTAGGGTGTTTACAAATTAAAGCTCACAAAAACACAATATTTACAAGAGAAAGAAAATAAAGAGTGAAAAACGTTTCTCTTGTGTTTGATTACTTGGATAGGTATTATAACCCTTCTTCAAGTGTCTTGAACTTGTATTTATATGTTGGAATGAGTTTGTGGTCGTTTCTAGCCGTTGGGTATGATTTCTAGCTGTTTGGGGATGTTTTCTCTGCAAAAATAAACTTCTCAGTACAAAGGGTATCAGTACTCCTATAGGGAGTATCAGTACTACATTTGTAATATTTAAATAAAAC